GTGGCAGTTAGTATACCTACGAGTAACTTGTTCGCGCACTTCATAATAGTTGTGGAGAATGGAGGCAACATCTTTAATGGAGTCATTCTAAACTACTTTCTACCTATCCTCTAATTTACTAGCTTGTAGGATTTTTATGGATTTTTCTGCTTTTCATACACAAATGCAATGCATATGAGCACGGGTATCCTTCCCTTATGCGAATTAAGTGGTGTGCTTGCATTTGGTCAAAAGTTGTGGATGGGAGAGAGATTTGCAACCATGCGGCTTTGATACCAGGACGGTGGTGGATCCAGGCATTGGTTTACTCTTAGCTGGACTTCTTGATGGAAAACCCGGACTCCTTCACATCTTAGGAGAGTCTGCGGCAATATGAATCCTCTTCCGTGCACTACATCGCAGCCCGACACCCAGGAACACCTCCTAGCCACGATGAGGTGGTTAACCCTAGTAGCTCAACAACCTATCAGTGATTGAAATTCAGCTCCAAAAACAGATATCGCCATAATACTCAGCATCAACTTTTTATTAACCTCGGCAATAAATTATAAATTCCAAAATTTGATGTGGGGAGGTGCAATCGTCAGCCATACGCGACTCTTACCGGCTGTTCTTCCTCGGTGGAAGACAGGTGAAAAGCGGTGGGGCCTTCGAGAATATGTTGATCTTGTAATTATCGTTCAGATTTTCATCTTTTTGTTTGTGCTGTTGAAGCGTTTGACCTAGTAACATACGTATTAGTGTACCCTTCCAGACTCTGAAGATGGTGATTCTGCCGAAACGTCAGCTACGATTGTGTTGTATGTGTGTTATTGTATGGAAGTAAACGTTTGCTGTTTAACAACCTCGCTGCTGCCGAGAAAGAAAGCGATGAATTCATGGTCGTACTCCTGATGGAGACGATAAGAAAAAGGAGTGATACGAAAAGGTCGAAGGATTCAGCTTATCTTCCAAACTACGAGAACCGATGGAGAAGCTGCCAGGTGCATTTGAGGGATGAATGGCTGCTTCATTGGCTCCGGTCTGCCTCGTTCAATCGCCAACAGAACCTCGGCTTTATGTATATATGAATGACTCCAATGACATTTTAAAAAACAGGGGATAAATCAGAATATTCTAGTGTGAGACTTCAGAGACATGATAGTGCTACAGGGTTTTTTGACGCATATACAGTTCGCTAAGCTTTCCATACTTGTCATTACCATTACTTTTCTCCTACTATGTTCTTCTTTGTCGAAATTATGCGGACACTTTACTTACTTAATTATGGAGTTTACAGTGCTCTCTTATTTACAAAACTCATAATAAAATCTTTCAGTTCTATTACAAACCTAATTCATGCGGAATACAAAAGTGAGTATTTTGCTAGTTGCAACCATGTGTATCGTCACCCTCGACGTGGTCTATCGGTGAGATTCAGACATAACCAATATTCGAAATTGGCAATTGAAATAGCCAAAGATTTTTCTGAATTGGAGAGTTTTCATTTCAGAAAATATTATTCTCCACCATTCGGGTGAGTGCTTCCATTATCGCTACCTATCAATTAATCATAGACTCCCTGATGTGAACGACCTTTTCTTTTGTTTCAACCGAATCCTGGAATGATTCGATTCGATAGTGAAAATTTCTCCGTCGATAATGAGAAACCGCTGTCGAGATAAGTTCATGGGAGCCATTTCAGAAAGAAAAGGATGGTTTTCATTTCTTTTTTCAAATACTTAATAAGCAAGCATTTATTTGTTCAGGGTTAATTATTCAACGTCTCCAGTTGTTATTGAATTATCTAAGGTGCTTCAGAAACCAATAACAAAAATAGAAAGAATAAAGCTCTCGGCGTTGATCTATTTCTTGGGGATGCGCCATACATTCGACTTCATTACGCATCATTGGAGGTGATTGAATGCATATGCGGCCTTTGCAATAACTCTTAGTGGCTTACCGATATATCGAGTCAATGCTGCTATCCTCCCAGACAGGTCTGGTACCAATTTGTCAAAGCCGGGGATGAAAGCCTTGATAATCCTGCGTGAAGGCCCCATCCGACGTGTATTGCAGGGCGCCTCCATCTACTACGTTATAAGGACTCCAATATCAATACCAATATTAATACCAAGATATAATGTGTCGGAGTATCCTTATCGGTTTCATTCCTTTTCGTAGTCGACAAACTGGTAGTAGACTTATTTGGATGGATAGCAACACTGAATTCATATATCGGTACACCATCGGAAGTCATCGTAAAGGCCAGATATATTACATCTGAAGATGTGATTAAGGGAACGATTGCACAGTGCTAGTGATGTCCGTAATCACGAGTATGGCGTTAGTTCGATTTAGCTCAGGGCCAACCCAGTCTCTCGTCCTTCTGGTGTTGTGGAATTAGTACCAGACTTATTTGGGAAGAAATCACTTTCTACAATCCAACTTAGAACGTGTCTTCCCGGTTATCTCAGGGCTCCAAGAAGAATTGCTCGAACGGCATTCTACGATATTCAAGATAAAATGAAAATGCTCAAGTAACAGAGAAGTCACAGTAAATTTGGTAGATCTTCGTGTATGAAGAACCTGAGGAAACGAATCGAATTTGAGGAGTGGTGGGATCCGCAAAGTAGACGTGAAGAAGTGTCATATAAAATAAAATAAAAAAATGTGATTGAACTCTTGATGAAGTCGAATGCATAGCGCATCACTCATGGATTGATCAACTTTGAAGCTTCATCCTTTCCTATCCTTTTAGTACAGTCGTGGATAGCTTTCCGATCTCTTCCAGTGTAAACTCGGGATTTAGTCTATAATGGGCGTCTCTCAACATATACTGTGGGCTTAGTTGCAGACCTTTTGCCTAGGCTGTATACAGGGAAAGACTCGAGTAAATCTAAGCAAACATACGTGCACAAATGATATGTCTATTGAAGTAGTGAAAAGAAATCCGTCACTGGATTCACAAGGCACTTTGCACTCGCTGCATTTCTAACCGCTTATCCCACACTTGAAAACGGTTCACGTTTCGTCGCTGTTAAACAGACGGAGATCTCTATCTGTAAGAAATCTGCTATCTTCGAAAGCAATTATCGAAAAGATGACGTTGTTTGCTGACAAGCTGGTGATCACGCGTGGTCGTGAGTTCGACTTCACCACTTTCAAAACAACCTCTTTCTTCGTTTTATGTTGCAAAATTACCATCGGACCTGTCGGAGAGGATAAACGACTGACTTAATACATTAGAATGCCACAGAAAGTCGGCGTATTATACATTGAATCATCTTGACGATAGCTAGAGGAGTTAAATTCATCCTCCATTCACTGATCAACATCGCATGCTTTATCACTTGCACTTTCTATGCACATTCCATTCCAGTTAAGAAAAGCCTTTATCAAATGCGATATGGCAACAAACGACCTTTGCAAGATGGTGATTCTTGTCAAATCTCCTATTCCAAACATAAGGGCGATAGAAGATGTATATCGCCATGGTGAAGATGTGATGAGAGTAGGAGGGTTAAATAGCAAGTAGTAGTTGTATGAGATGTTTGTCCCAATAAATAGTGTCAAGAGGTCCATGCAGCCGAATGGCTCTCGGAAATCTTAATGCGTCGGCTGTACTCCATCAAAAACCTTTGCTGCGAACGGTAGTGTAATGCTCACTAGAAAATTACAAACGGCATTTTACGAGATGGTGCAGCTTAGGCAAGACAGATTATTGCATAGGATAACCAATCTTCACTAGTTTAGAATATTCTTCATTCGAACAGATGTCTCCTAACTCATTGGCTGCAGTAAATGTGCATAATAAGAGTGAGCAATAGTAATAATGGTCGAGGATTGAGTTGATGTTTTGCATGCTTGTAGTCTCAACTAGAATTTTGGAGCTAGTGGATGGTTCATATTTCACTATAGGGATATTTTAGTCAAGTGCTAGAGTCGCAAAACGGTAAATGTGAGAGTGGTTATTTAACGCCTAAACGATAGCGGGTCATTAAATTCACTCCAGTTTTGGAAAACGATTGCCTTCTTTTTGAGCTGTTCCCAGCATTTTCTTCTTGTACAAATGCAGATTTTCTTCTCAGGATTCATTGCGAATGGTGTCTACTACCAGAGGTGTAAAACTTCAAGGTGATTTCAAGTCCTTCCTAGTGTAATCGCGTTTTCCATCATATCGCTATTGGATTTACTTCTATTTTGGAAAACGGTGACTAGAACAGCCCTTAAGTTTATTTTAGTTTTTAGAACTAGCTGAGAGACAGGCAAGACGAAGGATCCGGATGGTGTAGTGGTAAAGTGCGCTGCTCCCCGGTAAAGACAACAGCGCGTGTTCGTTCCCCACTGCATACACCTGTGGTCCGGAGTTTTGCAAATATCTTAGCATTTCATACTTAAGTTTATTCTCCAACTTCACATAGCGGTGTAATAAATATATCGAGACACCACTTCGGCATGTCGAGAAAGTAGAACGCGGTAATTAAAATGACAGTTTACAAGAACCATCCACATAAAAAAGATAAAAGGATAAAGTTCTCGGCGTTGATCAATCTCTGAGGGATGCGCCATGCACTGGACTTCATCAAGCATCCTTTGGAGGTGGTTGAATGCATATCTGGTCTTTACAATGACTCACGGTGGCCCAACAATGTATCAAGCCAGTGTTGCGCTCCTCTCAGGCATGTCCGGTACCAATTTGTCGGCCCCGGATGGATGGAAGGCTGGAAGACTTGGTGGGCCATAGGTACGGGAGTCGATTCCACGTGTGTGTTGCAAAGCGCCTCTGACTACTGCCCTACATGCGTCCCCACCCACATTACTGATTTAAATTTTGAATCCGAAATATCGTAAGCCACTACACTTTCCGGATTTGTAACGACTCCGTGTAAGCTTCTCAGTAAAGGAATACACTGAATTTCCTTGCCGGGGCTCTATACGGGCCAGTATTGACGTCATTTTGTGTTTCTGTTTATTGTTCAAGAGTACAGCAACTATTTCCAGTGCTATTCTTTCATCTTATCCTACGTTCCTGCAATAGTTTGTCAAAAACATCCTTTGCTATTCATACTGTTTTTATGGAATTGTGTATTGTTTCTGTTTCAAGCTGTCACCCGCACGATGACAAAAATGGCATGAGGTTGTTTGGGAAACCGTGTTCAGTCATCTGACCTGTTCAAGTGGGAGATGGATGTGGAAGTCGACGAATGATTTCGGTATAAGTTCTAGACCTATGCTAAAACATCGCTTCCTCCAGAAGACATTTGAATAGTTCCGTGAGTTAGTATCGCATTCGTCTCGTCACTGCCACCCTCTGTTCATCATGTGTGATACGCCATGTAGTTAATCCAAAGTGCTAACTCTTAATGTACGTGTTCACTGTTGTATATTAACTTTAGTATCATGTTTTCTATATGAATATAGTACTGTTCCACTATCCTATAGCAGAACTACTAACCAACTTTACCCTCATCTCACCTATTAATTCTGATGCCAAGTTTGAGCCTGTATTGTCAACCGATGTTCACTTATTGTTAATTTTAAACTTTTATTATTATAAACGGTCTAATTACTCGAGTTTGAAATGTCGCTTTGCGACAGCTGCGAAAAAGACCGCGTGGCAACTTCTATGAAGTCGAGCATTCTACTCAAAGCTAGTGACCACAAGGTGCCGAGAACTGACTCGAAGACCTAATTTCCACTAGCAACCACAACATACAAACCGTTCCCATATAGCCTAATTTGATCCGCTCAATCATGAGGACAGGTCACATACACAAATTTGGCAGATAAAAGGGTTAATTAAAGACCAAAAGCTATTAAGCAAATGCTCAGAGGTAAAGGCTGTTTTAGAATATAAGCTAACATAAGGCTCTACTGCTAATTAGTTCTTTAAGAAATTCAAATTTTCAATATCTTGAATTTGTAGCAGTTAGAATATTCACAAGTTTTGATGTGCTTGTTAAGTTTGTATAAATAAAGTTTTTGCACTTTCAACAGTTTGTGCCTTTCAGTTTTGCGAAAACAACGAAGGGTTACACTAGTTTCGAAGAACTGGAAGCCAATGTTTTCCGACCTAACAATTTCAAGATTGTTGAGCCATCTCATTTGGTTCCGAAGCTAGGTTTCATCAGACGGCATTCATGTGCGCAGGTTAGTACCAATTTCTCTGAGAAACTAGTTTAAATCTATGATTTCGTTCTGTGTATTAATTTAATCTCATCATTGATAACAAATCACTGTGTTCAAATTTTATACTTTATCAAGTAACTTTTTTCGACCATTTTCGTGAGCAGGATCTCGTACGTTTTCTTGTTGCCATTGTGCTTGAACTATTTATATCGCTCCTACTTATATCGATAGATTTTTAAATTTAATTGCCCATGAAGTTAAAAAAGTAATGTATATTGTTGAGCTTACCACTAGACTACTAAGTTATTAGGGCTGGTTATAGATGTTCCAAGTTGAAAGTTACTCACTAGGAACCAATATGTATATGGCCAAGTATGACGTACACGTAAGGATTTCTGCGCTCAGAACAGTTTCATATTATAGTCATAGACATAATCCTGCTGAAAAGTCAACGAAAATCTGTAGAATTTAAAAATTCAAAAGATATCTTTCCTTATAAAATTCAGTAGAATGAAATAATAATGTGCTCGAGCTCGCTGAAATGATGAACCTAGTCATTTTAACTGATTTATTTTACACCCTTCGTCACATCTTCTGTGTGGACCCCAGCACTTCTCGCATTCGATTCGTTATTCCTCGCATTTATCCTTCATAATGGTGTTCGAGCATTTCGCATGCTCTTCTGACTGACGCTTGAGAATTTCGTCATCTTGATGAATTTTTTAGAATTCTGGTCAAATTATTATCCTCGAAATCATGGAAATAGCGGAGCTAAGGCGTTGGGACGCTTGCAGCACAGTGGTGGGTGGGGCCCTGCAATATACGTGAGATCGATCCCCATGCTCCAGGCTCACCAAGTCCTCCATCCCTCCGAGGTAGGCAAATTGGTGCCAGACTTGTCTGAGGAGATAGCAGCACTGGGTCGATAAGCCACTGTGAGTCCGGATATGCATAAAGGCCGGTTTGATCACCTCAAACGCTGCTTAATGAAGTCGAATACATGGCGCATAACTCAGTGACAGATCAACGCCAAGAGCTTCATCCTTTTATCCTTTAAGGAGTTCACAGGAGTGCAGTAGAGCATTAGGGCAAGTATCGAACTAGCGCTTTTGATTACTGATCGACGACATCTCTAACCACTGGCTATTCCCTTCCTAAGCCTGTTTTAACTATTTGAAAGTCGTGTTAGCTTTCGCAGTTTCGCTCAGCCGCTGTGGAATTCAATATATTTGAAGGAATGTGACCAGCTCTTATAATTTACGCGAGTCTGAAAAAAAAACAAGTCCTCATCCTCGGTGAAATTAAACTGTTACTTTATCTGCGCATAAATTGTATATAAAATGGTCTGAAAAGAAAAAAATTTTAGCAGCACTTCATTTCGTTCTACGTTTTCTTTTGAACAGCCCTGTAACTAAGTTCAGTGCCTTGGCGAAGTAGTGAGTACATATGGCCAAAATGCCAGCGTTCATTTATCCTTGTATTTTATTTCATAGATAAGCTTGTACGAGGTTATATAGTTTAAGAACTGTCTTTACGAAGCCTCGTCATAAATAACCAATGCTTTCCTAGATTATTTAGCAAGTACGAGATTGATAGAAAAATATTTATTCCGCTAACATTGTGGCGGCCGCCTTCTTCAGAGCCACGTTGATCCGAGTCGATGGTGCATGACTGCCTCTGTGACGATGTGGCTGTGTGGCTGTTTATTGTTGCAAAGAGCCCAACTCAGTGAGCGCCCTTTTATACAGGATGGATAGTGAGCACCTACCATCTAATATGCTCTAGATTTTTGACGAGCAGGGCATCCTGTGGTAGTCGGTATTTCGTAAGTGGGACCTATCGTGGCAGTACCTTAAAAGCCGGTCTTCATTTATCGTCGGCATAAATAGTTAGCATCATTGTAAAGCGACTTTCATTTAACCTCGGTGTAAATGATCAATGTACCACGTTTCATTGATAAGCTAACGCGAGGTTCTTACGAAAATTTATCCGGCTAATGTGTCAACGTCTTCGTCATCCTCAGAGCCGATGTTCCGAGCCTATGTCCACAGTCTTTCGTCTTCTCTTTGTGGTGTCTTCGTCGCGCATCGGGTGGGATATTTTTTACTGGACCATCTCTCGAATGGGGCATACTCAGTGGGAGATGCCCTTAAATACAGGATTCTTCTTTCTTATAGTTAAACAAGTCGTTATCACTGGATCATCACGACTACCAGTAAGAAGAATCTTGTATATAAGGGATCTCCGGTTGCGTATGCCTCATTCGGAAAATGGTCCAGTAAAGGACACCCGGCTCGATCCGCGACAAAGGCACCACTTCNGTCTTCATTTATCGTCGGCATAAATAGTTAGCATCATTGTAAAGCGACTTTCATTTAACCTCGTGTTAATGGTCAATATACCACGTTTCATTGATAAGCTAACGCGAGGTTCTTACGAAAATTTATCCGGCTAACGTGTTAACGTCTTCGTCAACCTCAGAGCCGATGATCCGAGCCTATGTCCACAGTCTTTCGTCTTCTCTTTGTGGTGTCTTCGTCGCGCATCGGGTCGGATATTTTTTACTGGACCATCTCTCGAATGGGGCATACTCAGTGGGAGATGCCCTTAAATACAGGATTCTTCTTTCTTATAGTTAAACAAGTCGTTATCACTGGATTATCACGACTACCAGTAAGAAGAATCTTGTATATAAGGGCATCTCCGGTTGCGTATGCCTCATTCGGAAAATGGTCCAGTAAAGGACACCCGGCTCGATCCGCGACAAAGGCACCACTTCGAGAAGACGAGAGACAGTAGACGGCACGAATCACCGGCTGTCGGGAAGGCGAAGATGTCGAAAAGTCAGCCNCAGTAAAGGACCCCCGGCTCGATCCGCGACAAAGGCACCACTTCGAGAAGACGAGAGACAGTAGACGGCACGAATCACCGGCTGTCGGGAAGGCGAAGATGTCGAAAAGTCAGCCGAATAAATATTGGCAACAATCTCGTGTCGGCTTATCAATAAAACGAGGTGAATGGACAATTCTTTACATTCTTGTTTAGCAAACACGAGGTGCTATTTCTATATTTACGCACAAGCTGACGTTTCGGCAGATTTCGCCTTCCTCAGAGCCTGGAAAAGTCAAGTTGATTGTAATCTACTCGATCAAACACCTCCAAAACCAAACAGAGAAAATGCTAAGCTGAGAATTCAATCACATTGAACACAGAATAGCACCTTCGCGCAGTCACCACTTTATATGAGTCTTCTACACGGTATATCACGCGGAGACGAACCGCGCAGAGCGCACATGGAATCGTGATGTGCCGCCCTATCAGAATAACAGACTTAAATACTGTCCAATGTCACGCGTGATAATGAGGCATTCCTGTCTGCGGTTCATTTTCGGATACTTGGAAATAATCCAGAATGTCTTGAGAGTTTTGCGCGCTTGTGTTTTCGATTCCTATGCGAAGATCATGACACGTGCTTCAAAATCTTCTCCGTTGTCTCTGCGTCCTATGCGGGACTACTGTAGTATTTGGTTTACGTTTACCGGCTAGGTGTTCTTTGATACGCACGCAGAGTAGTCTACCCGTTTCGCCAACGTATTCGTCCCTGCACGCTTTACAATAGATCAGATAGACTGTACCCGAACTCAAGTAGTCACCGTCTCTACCATTGGGGTAAATTGTACAATTTTGTGTTGCACACAGACGGTCATACGGATGGTTACGAACCAGCCGGCGTTTTAGAGTACTCGGTAGCATTTCAGTTACAGTTACCGATTTCTTAAATAGTCATTATTTTGAATACATAATCAATGCTTGAGCTATTCGCGCGCTATGTGTCACTTATGAAGTACCGAGTGCTGCACGCCGAACTGTCAGCCAAAAAATAGATCATATTTGATGGCAGCAATAAATCCATGAAACGGCATCGCGGCGTGGTACTCTTCATTTGAGCGGTGCATCCTCTAGTGGATTCGATTTGATACGACTCCGAACACTCAAATCGCAACTACAANGTACCCGAACTCATATAGTCACCGTCTCTACCACTGGGGTAAATTGTACAATTTTGTGTTGCACACAGACGGTCATACGGATGGTTACGACCTAGCCGGCGTTTTAGAGTACTCGGTAGCATTTCAGTTACAGTTACCGATTTCTTAAATAGTCATTATTTTGAATACATAATCAATGCTTGAGCTATTCGCGCGCTATGTGTCATTTATGAAGTACCGAGTGCTGCACGCCGAACTGTCAGCCAAAAAATAGATCATATTTGATGGCAGCAATAAATCTATGAAACGGCATCGCGGCGTGGTACTCTTCATTTGAGCGGTGCATCCTCTAGTGGATTCGATTTGATACGACTCCGAACACTCAAATCGCAACTACAATTAACTTGGGACCATCGATTCGGATAAAAGGGCTATGAAGAAGGCGAAGGCACCGAAACGTTAACCGAATAAAAGTTCTTTTTTTACAAGTCTCGTGTTTGCTTAATTATCCAGGAGAATAACGTGAGGTTGGTTCAAAAATTCCTTTTGACCAACTCTTGCTTCTTCGCCTTCGTCTTTATTCCCGTGCTTCCCTAAACCTAACCCTTCACTAACCTATCTTTTGGACCTCAATGTTTTACCACCTCGTTAGGCTTGATGTTCTTGGACGTTCCTACGAGGGAAGCTGAGTAGAACTTCAGCATCTGCATTCAAGCGACCATCTTGGACTTGACTGCTGCTATCAATCTGATCGTCCTGGTTAAATTTAAAATTTAAATGTTGTCAAACATCTTTCCGATCTGTATATCCGGTGAATTGGTGCGGTGATATGTACGGGAAAGCCCAACGAGCTAGCATTCGCTTCGTTCTTGCCATGAAGAGTAAAAAAGCCGAATTTAAGCAAGAAATATGATGTTTTTAGTGATAAGGAGATGGCATTTTTATTACCTGCTCATAGCTGTTTAATAAATAACGAGATTACCAGTGATACAGGAAAATTTTGAAGACCAAGTAACTTTTTTGTTTATTCCTTCGATCTTACGCTAAGTTATCCATTTGACAAAAGTAGTGGTAATTTGGGTCTCTCTGAATGTTGGAACCGCATTCCCAAAAATCACCACCGCCTTGGTATCAAGCTAGTCGCATGAAGGCTTGTCTCTTAAAAAAGGGAAAAAGAATAGGATTCTCAGAAGCATCTTTCTGTTCATGAGCCTCACAAACCGTTTAGTTTTATGTATAATTCCATAATATACTGAAGGTATTTGATGACTGGTTGAGCATTGCGGTCGGGAACAATCAATCCAAAACGCCACCAAAAACGCTGCCATTCGAGTACAGGAGCGAATTCTTAATGAATGGCTACAGTAGACTGATTAAGGTAACACCAACTTGTTAACAACGTGCTTATTTCTTCGTTTTTTTGTCCTCTCCTTCTTCAAGTTTCTGATTTGTAGCCGTGGAAATTTGGGTTATCCACCTATAAATATGTCCACCTTATTTGATTTCGAAAATTTGGCACAAAAATTTAGATGATACTAAATTATTTCTGGGCAACACGCTTTTGACCAATGCAATGAATAACCACTGTGTCCATACCTCGCCCATGTTAGGCATGCTTATTCATGTGGGTCTAGTTCGGTGTATTATCCTCTAACAATTTATCAATAGAGTCTGTCTATAACGATGTAGTATTTGAGTAAGCAATTTTGAGGACTACAAAGATGATCGAGCAGTGCCGAAACCACGTCAGTGGAAACAAATCCCATCGTGGTTATCACTTAATGAATCGGAACTGAGCACTATATCAAACTACGGAATATACGGCAGTTAGTTCGTCGTTTTTAAGTAATATTTGGCCAATCCTTAAAATTTTCCGGCTTGATTTAATGAAATTTGTATGATCTTATAACATATAACCTGCGTTCTACCTTTTCCTTTATCTTTCAATATTATCTTTCATTAACCTTTTCTTATCTTTTTGTGTAGTGGAGAGCACGCCAGCCCCTGGAAAGGGTAATCGCGGCTTCGAAGCGCACCTGAGATTCCGAGTTTTGCTCACACCTCAGCATCCCTATGGTTGTATTTCACCTCAGGGAGTAAAAAGCTTAAAATTAATCTTATACACTTTGTTATAATGTGCTCCTGTATTAGGAAAAGAAAATCGTTCATGACTCTTAACATTGTCCCACATTAAGCGATTTTGAAGAGATTTTCAAAAAATTGAAAACTAGCTCACATGTCGTTAGTTATTCAAAGATAAATTATAATCACCTCAGCAAAATCTTCTCAATACTAAGAAGTCGTAGACGTTTTTGTATCCAATAGGTAGAGAAAATATTAGCTGGAAAGCTGACATTAGGGAAAATACGGAGAGCAGCAAGCACCTACGAATCCAAACAACGAATATACGAATAAGTCGGGATTACGTTATAATATGAAATCCATCATTTTTTTTTGAAAGTATCTTCATGCAAAACCCGCACGTCTTCACGAAATTTCAATAGTAATTTGTAGAACCGGTATATCACGCGTTGCAAAACTATCCCATAACGGGAGAAAGTGGATTCATCCTTGGATCAGAGACGCCGTGGATTGAAGTGTACGCGTTGTTGCTTGGTGCTCGAAAGGTTTATTGATTTGTTTTGTCTTTTATGCTTATGTAAATGTTCAGCGAATATAAATTATGTTGGAGTTAATAGTTTACACTTACTGGTTCTTACCACTTCCTCAAAACGAAAGGTCCCGAATGTACGTCCACGACGTGGTCGACAACGTTATTAATACGAGTTGCCCCACGATGAAAACGACATCAGTGAAAGCAGTTGGGTTAGACCACTCTCATGCACACCAAATCATTTTGTTACTATTCTTCTTCATGTCTTCTTCGTTTTATCGTTTCACCGCTCATTCTTATATCTATTGTCATTCTATATTTACTCCCTGAGCTGACGCGAAGTTGGTACAGATCTTCGTTGTCGTAGTCGTTGTTTTTGATGTTATCGATCGATGGCTGACGTTTTGGCGACTTCGCCTTCCTCAGAGCCTGGACGTACTTTATGTTAGAATACTTTTTATTATTCGGTGGAAAAGAAGGTTGAAGTATTAATGAAGATCAAACTTTCAAATAGACGCCATATTGAACAGAAAGGCCACTCACCGTGACGTTACGTGCGGGACTGGCCCACACGTAGTTCACATGGGGTCGCGAGCAAGACACGCCCCGGGGTCAAAATATCATTTTGAAATAAGGCGCCAGGTCACGCGTGATAGTGAGGCATTCGTCCTTCCGGTTCATCTTTGGATTTTCCAAAAGATTTTTTGGTTCAATATGGCGTCTATTTGAAAGTTTGATCTTCATTAATACTTTAACCTTCTTTTCCACCGAATAATAAAAAGTATTCTAACATAAAGTACGTCCAGGCTCTGAGGAAGGCGAAGCCATCGATCAATAACATCAAAAACAACGATAACGACAACGAAGATCTGTACCAAACTCGCTTCAGCTTAAGAAGATCAGTTTATAAGATCGCATAAATAAATATATCAACTAACTATAGTTATCGACCATGTATTACTCTGTGCGGCGGCTATCCACCAACTAACTTAAATACTTACGACAAATAAACGGCTCTAACTATGCCGAGGTTTATAGAAAGTCGGTCTTTCGAGTTATTGTCATCCTATTTCATAATGTGATATGCCAATTAGTATTTCACACATGAAGCATCCACGGTTCTCCCTCACATGAGGGATCTCGAGCCGTTTAGTCGCGAGGCTACGTGGCGCGTTCCCAGGTTGCGGATAGGGGGCTAATTGCGGGCCAAAAACGACCTTTGCATCACTGAGACGCAGGTGAATCCAGTGCATTCACTCCTTGCTTCTGCCGCGCCGATTTGGCACATACTTTCTGAATTTGCTAGGCGTATTCGTGGCTGCATATTGGTGCTTTCTCGCTTATGCGGATTGTATTCTACGAGTCAATTCGGCCAAAAGACTGCAATCAGGTGACAAGGAATCATATGGAAGGCGGTTAGGAGTCGCCTCCAAAAAAAAGCTCCATGCCCACTCTGGGAGAACCTGGCAAGCTACCCGTGAGCATACCAAGCCCCTAGATTCAGAGCCCAGCAAGCTATACGTGGGTATCAAAATGCCAAACGGTAAAAAAAATAAAAAAACAGGCCTTAACCCCTGACCCCGAAAGAGCCCCAATTTCGTAGCATTGTACGGAGAGGCTGTTAAAATCTCAGGGCCAATGGAAGCTCCCTGAATTACAACGAACTAAGGTGGCGATCTGTACCTACAATGCACGTACACTTGCATCCGAGTCCTCGATGGAAGACTTTCTCATGCAAACAAGAAGGACAAGGTACAACGTCATCGGCCTGGCTGAGACGAGACGACGCCACCCATTCAACACTGCCTATGACGCTGGAGAAGAACTGTTCCTCGGAGCATGCGACATTAGAGGCGTTCTCGTCAGCACGAATTTGTCCATAAACATTGATTCACTTGAGCAACCAACAACCCGAATGGGATCGAACGAATGGGATGTTTGCGATTAGAAAGATGTGGATCAATAGCAGCTTTGGAAATCTTCATCGTTTACAGGCCGACATCAAACTATGACAAGAAAGAAGTCGAAGCATTCTATGTGGACTTGGAAAAGTCCTATAGAGAAGACCACACATTTTTCGAGGTTATCACTGGAGATTTCAACGCCAAGATTGGATCAAGAAGAATGTCTGAAGAACGTCACATTGGGATCCACGGGTTAGAATGAAACAAACAGTGTGAGCGGCTGTCTGAGTTTATCATGGCGACCAAGACAATCCATGGTAACTCGCAATTCCAGAAGCCCCATCGTCAGCGTTGGACGTGCGAGTCTCCCTATGAAGAGTACCATAACGAAATAGACCACATCACAGTAAATAAGTTTTGGCTTACTCATGTCCTAAAATTCTACACGGGATCAGATCACCGTCTCCTTCGTGCGAGATTCTATTTCTCGCAAAAAAGAGAAAAAGCCGCTAAATTCAAAAACGAAGTCTCAAAACCACCGTAAACTGGGACTTATTCAATTCATTAGTCGGCTGTTGGCAAGATGCCGTTGTCGATAACATTGACGAGGAATACGATCGGCTCATTCAACATCTTCAAGTTAGCACTATAAAAGCTGAGAGTTCGAAAGTCACCAAGAGACGTTTTTCTCCAGAAACACTCGAGCTGATACGCCAGCGTGGAATCGCAAGAACTGCAGGCTGCCGCGAACTAACGTCCGAACTTGCGAAACAATGAAGGCAGGCGATAAAAGAAGATCTTAAAGAGGAAAGAACAGCAGTAATGTTCGAGGCTGCAAAGGCTGGGAAAAGCATTCGCAAAAGCCCACCGAAGCCTCGCCAATTACAAGACCAAGATGATTGCACTCCGACGCCCAGACGGAGCAGTTACAGTGTCCAGAATGACAATGGAGAAAATCATCCACGAATACTAGTCAGATCTCTTCGATAGCCACGTCATCCTTCCGTTATATGAAACAGAAGAGGATGGATATGTTCTACTACCGGTTGCCCCTTCCGAAATCCGACCTGCCATTTCGTTGGTGAAAAATCGAACAGCACCAGGTGTGGTCAGGGTAAATTCTGAACATTTGATGAACCTTCCGCCAGTCCTCGTAAACACACTGGCTCGGCTCTTCACACGTTACCTATCTCAGTGCAAGGCCCCTACTCAGTGGAAGACCGGCAAGACCGTGTTACTGTTCAAGAAGGGTGACCTATACGATAACGGCAACTATCGCCCAATCTGCTTCTTGTCTGTCGTCTACAAACTTTTCACACGAGTCGGCCTAAACAGGATTGACAGAAAACTGAACGAAGGGCGGCTATGTTAGCAAGCAGGGTCTCGAAAAGGATTTACGATGGACCACATCCACATGATAACAAAACCCGCTGAAGTATCGCGAAAGTACAAAAGACCACTCTGTCTAACTTTCATCGATTTACAGAAGGCCTTTGATTCAATTGAGATAGAAGCAGTCATGGAAGCCTTTGATAGTCAAGGAGTAGCAACTCAGTACATAAAGATTCTTCGTGAGATGCACAAAAATTTAACAAGATATCACTAGAACGATATTAAGCATTGACGTCAAAAGAGAGGTTAGGCAAGGCCATACCATCTCGCCAAAATTATTTGTCCCTATCCTTCAGAACGTCATGCGAACATTGGGATGGGTTAATATGGGAGTGAAAATCGATGGTCGGCAGTTACACCATCTTCACTTTGCTGTTGTCATCGTCCTTATAACGCTAACCATTAACCAAACGAAACGTATGCTTGCCGACTTTAATAAATGCTGTGGAAAGATTGGTCTTCGATTAAATTTCACATGAACGATGTCGATGAAGAACGGATAGGTTTCGCATGCCCCTTTCACGCTCAATGGAACTAATACCTCTGAATGCTCCAGTTATATCTAGGTCGAAAAATCGATATGATGAACGACCTACGACCAGAGCTAAGTGGAAGGGCACAAGCGGCTTGGGGAACTTTCAAGTTCATGGAGGATGTAGTGAACAGAACAAAGAACACCGGACTCCATGTCCACCTTTTCGACTCAACGGTATTTCCTGCCCTCACGCATGCGTTAGAAACCTGGTCTATGCTTAAGCAGGATGAAAGATCCGTCAGTGTTATTGAACGCGCAGTCGAAGGGACGATGCTTGGAGTATCCCGCTTTACACAAATAAGGGATAAAGTCCCAAACTCCGATCTGCATCAACGACCAGAAATCAAAGATGCTGTTCTGTACGCCAAACAGTCGAAGATAAGGTGGGCCGGACACATAATGCGAATGAACAACAACCGATGGACAAGAGACGTTAGTGACTGGATTTCTCGAGATGTTAAACACACTACAGGAAGACCACTGACTCGATGGACAGAGTTCCTCACCTAGAAAGAGCCTAGAACAAAGGTAAAATGCTCAATGAGTTCCTAGAGCAAATAGAACTCACTGGGCTTCTTATATATATATATATTTTTTATATATATATAAGAAAGATATGATGATATGTGCCTTGAAGAAAGATATGATGCTCGACGAGTCCTTAGAGCGAGCAGAACCCACTGCACTACTCTTCCACGCGACAGGGGAAAATGGAAGAATTACTGGCGCCCAGTCATGTCACGCGGCGATCAACGGGACTACAGGTGATACAGGTGATATGAAGCCTACTGTTTCTCTCTATGAAGATAAATCGCTCAACAAAACCATTTCCTAAAGATGCTTTCTTGGGTAGCTATTAGTTTACAGATAGTTTGCTTGCGGAACTAATTCTTTCAGTCGGCCTTCCCACTAGCTCATTTGCGCACGATACTTGCTTAGTTGGATGGCTCGTCTTCTCTGGTTGTGCGGGCCCTTGCATTATTTTTATTTTTTCAGAGTTTTGCTGGTTTAGCCATCGTGGTTTTTTGGGGTCCCGAGGTCAGCTTAGTAGAAGTTTGCTCCGGTCGTCATCACCATAGGCAGTCGCCGCAATTTTGGATCCTGGTGTTGGTTTACTCTTAGCTGGGTTTCCTGATGGAAGCGCCGGACTCGTTTTCAGCTTTGGAGGGCTTGCTGGAGAGACGAATACCCTCTATGTGCATTGCAGCCTAACACACAGGAACATCTACCACCCACGATGAGGTGGTAAGGCGTTAAGAGGGGGTTCACATATGATATTAGACGGAAGTCAAATATCAAAGTAGGAAAGGAGAAATAGCCGACCACTCAGAGACTATGTAGAATTTAAACTTGTTTTATACATCCAACATCTAGTAATAAGATTTTAACCTTTCGAAGAGCCAGAGGCTTTGCACGTCGTTAAATTGCGGCCAGTTTCAGCGTTAAAGAATGCGTTTGGTCGCGTCGCAAACTCTATCGACGGAGGCCCAATGGTTAATTTTTTATACAACAGTCGTGGTTTTCACGAAGTTTTTGCGGTTTCTAAACAGTTTTTTTTCCCAGTACTTTTCGTGTTCGGCTCGTTTCCTCGCTGCCACCATTCACGAAGGTCATCGAACTTTTCGTGTGTGAGTTTGGCGGCTGCTTGCGAATTGCCGTCTTTATGAATGTCGTTGAATGCTGGTCTAGTCGATCCTCTCTGAAATTATGAAGTTCCATAGATTTAAAAAGTTATAGTTTCGGTGCGGAAGTGGTTTAAATAATCAGGAGATGTTCCTGTGCAGGTGGCATTCAGGATTTGTTTAAGTCAATAGTGGATGAAGGTTCTCGTACGTTTCTTGGAATATGAGCTCGTTTTCACACGAGAAAAATTGGAAAGGAAAACTTCTGTTCATGCTTTTTATGATAGCATGAACTTTGTCGTTGTTTCTAAACCGACCGTTATTTGACCTTGTTAATAAAGTGATCAACATGTATCTAAATTCCCACGACCGACTTTCTCTTAACCTCGGCATTAATTGATAATTCGATGTTTTTCTTCAATAAGCAGACACGAGGTTGTTATTATAGGATTTATTAGAATACAATAGCTGACGTTTTGGTGGTTTCGCCTTCTTCAGAGCCGTTTATTTGTTGTAAGTATTTAAGTTAGTCGATGGATAGCAGCCGCACAGAGTAATACATGGGCGAACCATGTCGCTCGACGCGGATCATGGGTTCTGTTGAAGACGTAGGCGTCTAAACCTTAGCCGAAAAAATCTATTTGTCCACTCCGTGTAAGCTCAACAATTTGAATACGTATTGTTGTTGTTGATCTTACTAGTAGAAGATGTCCAAGATGTGGAAGTTATCGAGCACCTGAGCTCTTCTGTTATTTGATCAGCATGTTTCCAAGCGAAAAGGAACTTTCCTAATCAACATATGTTTAAATCGTCCGCCTTACCCGAAGTTGTTACCAATTTATTCGGCTAACGTAAACACATCGAAATCCTCAGTATTTATGACAATCCACCGAGGGATGGAAGGCTTAGTGGGCCATGGACCAGAGGATCAATTCCACGTGAGTGCTGCAGGGCGCCTCCGACCACTGAGCGCCCCGCACCCTTTGAGAGATAATACAATCGCCAAATCGTAAAAAGTCTTCGGGTATTCTTTATACCACATCTATTCTTTCAATGGTAATGGACTTTAAATAAATTTGGGAAGCTTTGATTGATTCATTGTTAAGTGTGGTGAGCTTGAAGCACAACCCTTAACATATAGAAAACCTTACTTTCTGCTTTGGCGTTGAACTAAATTCAAGGATTAAGCAATTTATTTTAGTCCAAATTACTACATTAATCTACTAATTACTCCACTAGTAAAGAGTTATGTATGGCCGCTGTTCCTAGATGGCAACTTTTCTTGATAGATTTTCTTTCGATGAAACGTAAACATTAATCAAGTGTGCCACATTCCCGAATCTAAGATAAGGCTCAAATTTCAGCTCCTTACAGTAGAGTATCAAAACACAACGATTCACGGTACCAACAAGGTAAAGTATATTCATCCTATCGACTTTGCAAAGCAATGGAAAAAGTAAGTGCATTTTTTAAAGATTCTACATGCGAAATTATCTACAGAATTTGGAGAGCACTAAGATTTTAGTGCTAAGATCAGTTTGTCAAGGTAAATCGACTGTAAAACAAGTTTCACATTATCGTAGTCCTGAATTCCTTAATTTGTTTGGTTTTTCATAGAAGAACTACAAAAACTATCCGCAGCTTTACTCCGACATCGATTCAAATCGTATCAACTGCTATCGATAGCTATGGAAATCAGCTTATTGCTTACTGATTAGTTACTTGCTTCGCTTTTCGTTAACACATAACGGACGGCATGCATTCTATACAATCAAACATGGCGCGGTGAATGATAAGCATGACATATATAAGGTTATGTCAATGTGACACTTTCTTTCTGATGGTTTACTTTAATGTATAGAACTCTTTTCCTACACTTATAACTTATACAACAAAAGTGTTGTGGTGGGTGTTGACCGGAAAAACCTTTATCTTTACTTAAACATTTACAAAATACTTTTTCTTCGAACGAATTCATTGACTGGTAATTTGAATCGCCCTTGACTCTTGTTTCAATACTATTTGCAGAAATAAACCATACTTACTACTTGTGATGTGCGTGTATAAAGAATAGCGAAATAGAAGCACAGCTCAGTTTGCAAAACTCTTCCAAATGCTGACAACAAAGAGTGGTATGATAGACCATGGTAAAACATAGTGAATACTAGTATACATGTCGCTCGTGCACATAGAACGATAGAAAAAACCAATCCTAGAACTCTCCCTTTTCTTTACCCATAAAGTTACTTATTTATCAAGAAACGATCGCTTGTTTTTGGAGAACCAGCACAATGGACGAAAACTAAAGAAAGTCTCAAGCGGTAGTTAAACTGTGCGTAGCGAATGTGTCACAAGGGTACAATATATTTCTTAAAATCTAAATAGTTTCTCCCTTGTTTATCACCAATAAAAAGGCTGATGCAGTTGTTTTTTTTTATTTTAAATGAGCTGTCTTGGCATCTACTGTGTGCATAGCAGCACGTACTGCATTTATTCGTTTCGTCGCTTCCATTATTCGCGAAGGCCTTCGAGAATTTTGCGTGTCTCTTCGGATGTTTCTTGAAGGCTTTGCTCTTCCTTGTGGAATGCTTGTGGAGTCGATTCTCGTATCGTCCTAAGATAGCTTGAGTAATGCGTTCAAACTTGCCTTGCAGGGAATGAACTGCTTCCAAGCAATTCTTGTACCAATTTCTCAGCCTGGGAAGGATGAGAGACTTGGTGAGTGGGGGTGGGTCGAGCCAACACCGTAACTGTTGTAATCGACATGACTACTACTGCGTTATCCGCTTCCTCGCTATTTCAATGTAGTCTTAACACTATATCCAATTTTGCGAGATATTTTCGTTTTTTATTTTACTTTACTCTACATGGCCCGATCACGCAGTATGCGGATGCCAGCACTCATTTCATTCTAATCGTTTTCTCGTCTTCACAAAGGCCTTCGAATTTGCCTGTGGGTTTGGCTGCCGCTTAAGGATATTTGCTCTTATTTATGGATCTCATTAAACTATTTTGAGCAAATTTTCTCTACAGTCTTGGTCGTAATAGGCTTTCCTAGGTCTTATCGACAGGCAGTTGCTCGTCTTTTTTGACCGGAAGAAGCCTTTCTTGGAGATATCTGGCACCGGTTTATAGATCTCTTAGAAATGGAAGACCTCGTTGAGCGGGAGTTCTGGGAAACCACTGCCTAACTTGTTTTAAGTAATGTCTCCATCGCTACGCCACCCGCTTCCCTGTCACATACATAGCTATTTCTCTTAAATATTATTGCTACTCTATGGCAAAACGAATCATGTTTGATGTGCAAATGCAACCGCAACGCCTACGTTCACGGTTGTGCCCCAATTAAGGACAAGATTGAATCAGAAACGTTTTAAATTTACTTTAAAAAAAATTTAATAAGAGCTATAAAAAACTACCATGCTTTTACTGATGTGGTAATCTTAAGGCATCAAAACGGCTTCGATTTTGCGATATCGTTTTCGTCTATTGAACACAGTGGGCTTGGACGGTGGGTGTGAAGTGCTTTCAGCGTTTTTCTAAATGGAGTTCAAAAAACCTCGTAAGCGACAACGATTTCTTCACAATAGAATCACTTGTTCAAATTTTAGCGCACAATAGATTTTCGTAGAGTATTAAATAAAACTTTGGATGATAGTTTTACCTAAAAGTATAAGCGTTGATTTCCACACTATCAGCTCTCTAACTCTCTAAACTCTACGAAAACTTGGTTTTCTTAAGCTAGGAGCTTCTACGGTGATCTACTGTTTTATACTTATGCACGAAAACTTTATAGTTATGGCGATCCAATAGATCCGATTGGAGATCTACGTGAGGTCTGGAAGACATCATGTCTACTGAAACCTGGAGGTGAGTTGTTTAGTGGTTTTATTTGTTGGTTCAAAAGAAGCACCTAAAATTCGTCGCCATAGGAAGTTAGCCAATTTGTCGATCACCTGTATCTTTTGTTTTTCTAGTGGTTAATGAGCGACTCGATTAAGCACCAGTAAATCTTCCCTTTCTCGTTGTCGCTTGACTTATTCTAGTGGGTTTTGTTCGCTTTAGAAAATCGCTGAGCATCATGTCTCTCTTTCAGAGATTTCTTGGAGAACCCCAACTATCTGGATCAATTTTCTTTTTACCGTACCTTCGACATATTCAGAAGTTCAGTCGCCAACGGCTGTTACCTATTGGTTTTGGTTCAGACATGATGACCGGCACACTAGATTTTCGACATTTTAGCGTGCACAACATCGCTTTGATTTTTGCCCTTTGACGTCAAATTATCTGACAATTATCTGAAACACGACTTGAACAGTCCAAGTTTTTTAAGAAGTTAGCAAATGTTTTATCTAAAGGAAGCAGATTTTCTTTACCGAGACTGTTTTCCGTAAGCATCATCTACAAGAACTTTCCGGTGCTAAGAAAGCGTCAAAATCAGACCTACTTGAAATAGTTTTGCTTTCGAGCTATAGAGCACCGTTTCTATTAGAGCTTGCTCCAAAATTTTTTATTTGTGTAACCCCTTTTTTGATTTCTTGGCGAGCTCTTTTTCACTACGTCTAACCTTTTCAAATGTGCATCGTTCGATGTGGATGATGTCTTTCAGGGATATTCTTCCTTGGTTTACCACGCGGCGTAGATACTTTGGTATTCAACTTGCACCGAATCTATGGAGCGATACGACTCTCAATGATCATGACGGGTACAGTGAAGAATTTTGCAAAGAAAAATGTTGCAGAAATGTCAATTAAAACACAAGGGCTATTTAAAGAAGAGAAAACTATTCTAACCGCCAGTTTTGCTTCGACATGCTCGCATTGTTTTGCAGGCTTATTCGGTAAACACTCAACTCTCTTAGTGGAAAGCCCATGAACGAATTTTAGTAAGTTAAAAAGCACTCACTGCTTTTTGTTGCTTACGTTATTAAAAAGTAAGACCACTCGTTTGCTATTCACATAAAGTTACTGTTTCTTATCATTATGAAAGGGCGTTGTGTAATGCAGTGCCAAGAGGTGCTCTGCAATGTACATGTGGTCATTGGTTCAATTGCGCTCCTTGGCCCCACCTTTCATCCATCTGCACTCGAAATGGCACCAGAGTTATCTACGAAGATAATAACACCAGCCAGGAATATCGATAGACTAAACGCAAGTTATTGTATTGTATGGGTAAAATAAGCTATCAACAACCTCCAGCTATGCTTGATGAAGTCGAATGCATGGCGCATCATTCCAGGATTGATCAATGCCATAAAGCCTTGCCTTTCTCGTTATTTATGCCCACGAAAAACCCAGAAGAACAGTCTAGAAGGAAATGTAGTCATCGAGGCGTTAGGTATTGGAAATCAGAATACTCATGAACAACTTCGTGTTATCTCATCAAGAACAGTTTATTAGAACAATAGAAGAAAACTCATCGGGAGCAAATCTAATAAATTATTTAATGAATAAATTCACTAAGTTAAAACCTGAGGAAATAGCTGACTTATCTGATTACATGAATAGGGCGAGGTTTCTTTCCGTGTAAGAATGATAGCACCCTTTCCATATGCACTTTAGCAACACGTTGTGACTCGTTGAACACACTCGTAGTGGGTGGTTGAATATATTCATAACTAACCTGTCACTCTTTTCGAGATCAAATAAATAGTCTGTTTGCGGTGATACAAAGCTATCTAACACGTATTTCTAGGTGATTTTATCGTTGGAGCGTGTGCCAATTCTATCTTAAGACATGATCTGCTTATGTGGCAGTTCCCATGACACACTTTCTATTAGCTTTGACATTTATCAGTAATTCACTGTTTTTCTTCAGTGAGCATACAGCATTTATTGGCACACAGTACTGACATTTCGGAGCTCTTGTCTTCTTCGTAGCCTGGGATGGTCAAATTTACGTGCAATCTACTCCCCAAACACTTTCATAGCCTTAGCAAATAAGATAACATGTAAATTTACATTCGCATATTAAACAGGTTCTTTTAAACATTAACCATTTTATTTGTTAGCTCTCCAGTTAATTAGTGGAGAGCAACCGTACAGCGTATTACACGGGTGAGGAGTGTGCCTCGGTCAGCTCATCGATTCAGCCTGAGGAATGGCGCTAGCTCATATATGATCGCAAGACACTTCTCCTTGCGGCCCTTTTTCGGATTTTTGAAATTAATCCAAAACGCCTCAAGAATTTTACACTCTAATGTTTTCGACTTCTGTGAGATTGTAGTGAACTTTACTTTTAAACTTTTTTCCAGTATGTTTCTGTGTCCCATGCGAGCATAGTGGGGGGGGAGGGATTTAATTTCAGTTTAAATTTACCGACTAGGCGTTCTTTTATAGTGGCCCACCCATTTAGGACTAGAGGCAAGTGGTATTCCTTGCCAATTTTATTAAACACGGGCTCTGCGGATTGATAGTCGGATAGTTATTTTGGGATAGGAGATTGAAGCAGCAACCGTGTCTGCAGTGGTAGTCTTAGTGTAACGATGGTTTATGACCTCGTTGCTCGTAGGAGCTGCTTTGTGGAACATGCTCGAAAGGAACGAAATATCATACTTTTTGTACGACGCATTTTATTTTTGCTGTTTCGATATGACTGGTACATAGATGACAGGGCCACAACCAGCTCTTCCCCTTCACAGGAGTTTCCGAACACAGCGTCGGCTTTGGTAATGTTCTCACTTCGATAACACAATAGCTGCTGCACTTCGCATTCCGACATCAAGAACAAATCAGCTCTTATGAAGAGATTGAATATTGGTAGAAAATAACAGTTATGGTAGTAACACTACAGTAACTAGACGGGGAAACTAGCAGTTGTAAAAGAATAAAACAGGCGTTAAAAATTTCTAATGGTGAATTTTAGGCTTCGAATGGTTAGCGACGTTCTTTGGTGATAATCCTCACTCCTTCAACCTCACCCATTGTGATCTCGAATACTCGGATGATGAACAAAAACAAGACCTCTATGTTCTCAGAAAATTATAAACGAATTTATTGTTTGTCATGAATATCGCTAAGATATAAACTTCAAATTTCACAAATTTTTCATCCAACAAATGTGTAACGAACAGCATGCAATAGCTACTAGCAATGGCCATAACACAAAACCCTAAACAGGAACAAAAACTTCAACAATACGCCACAGAATCTATGAAGATCCACTGGTTGTGGTTCCCAAGCAAATGCACTACTATTCGATTTACCACTTAGGCAAAGTTGATAACTATTAGCCCACTAAAGTTTTTAAGAAGAGCTAGAACTTTGTAATAGTCCTTGTTCCTTGGTATCAAGTTACTTTTGTTGCAGATAGAACCAGTTTATTTAAATTTAGCCAGGAGATTGGCAATAGTTACGCGGAAAATCGGCCTGCGGTACTGGGGCCGTTTGCTAAATTTTTCAGCATGTTCGCCATGTCTTCGTCGATCCCCAGCAAGAAGAACTATCTCGATTCGTTCCGTTATAGTCAGAGTCATCGTTGCATGATCAGAAAGCAAAAATGTTATATCTTTCTACTTTTGTTCAGCAAACACGAGGTGCTATTTTATTTCTTTATTCACGCACGAGTTGACGTTTCGGCGGATTTCGCCTTCCTCAGAGTCTGGAAGGGTCAAGTTGACAGCAATCCATTCGGCCAAACACCTCCATAACCAAACAGAGAAAACGCTAAACCAAGATTTCATTCACATTAGCACTGCACACTCACCGCTTTCTATGAGTCTTCCATTGAGTATGTCGTGTGAACCGCTCCTAGGAGCATGTGAATTCGGTGCGGTCGGTCTTCACGCGACATACTCAGTGGAAGACTCATTGAAAGCGGTGAGTGTGCAGAGCTATGCTAATGTGAATGAAATCTTGGTTTAGCGTTTTCTCTGCTTGGTTATGGAGGTGTTCGGCCGAATGGATTGCTGTCAACTTGACCCTTCCAGACTCTGAGGAAAGCGAAATCCGCCGAAACGTCAACTTGTGCGTGAATAAAGAAATAAAATAGCACCTCGTGTTTGCTGAACAGAAGTAGGAAGATATATTCAATCAATGTCGAGGTTAATAGAAAGTCGGACTTGGGAGTTGCTGCAAAAATGTTAGCCTACGGCAGAAGCGATCATATTTCTTTCGTCTCCTCCTTTCCGAATTTGTTTTGGAATATGCTTATCGCACAACTGGTCTCGCCTAACTCTAAAATAGTCTTATATTCTCAGTGAAATATCACATACCTTAAAATTGAATTGAGAAAAATTTTAGAAAAGTATTAATAACTAGATAGGATGAGGCATTACCAGTTGATCAAGCAACATTTAGATAGGTATTTTGCTGCATGGACGACATCCTAACCATGACACTGGTCATAGAAATCTGTCGGGAGTATCATTTGCTCCCTTTCCTGACCTGTCGTAACTAGGAGGAAGCATCGAAACGAACGTATTCCTGTCAGCGCTCATCGACCAAAATGTGGATCCGTCCTACATAAGAACACTATCAGTCTGTCATCAGAAATGCACTATAAAAATACAGCTTTTCCATTAACCTATTACCACATTCGTAGAAAAACGAGTTCGACAAGTATACAGCATTTCGCCAAAGTTGTTTACTGCAGTACTGCGATGGAAAATAAAGTCAAATGATTGGGACGAGAAAAGCGTACGCACTGATGATAAATTACTGTCAAATCTTCGTTTTAGTGAAGACACCTCTACTTTTTCGAGAAGAACCAGTGGGGCGTAGGCAGTTCCCAACGAGCTTAACATGGCAAAAAAATGATTGAAATGCGCATAAAAAAGGACGAATATTCAGTTCATGAGGTACCAATGGTGAGGAAAGAAACAAATCGTAATGTATGGCTCTATGACTACAGAGACAAGCTTGTAAATTTAGCTTAGACCTTCACTGAATGTGGAAAATAACATAGAGAAAGAACTAGAGAGCAGTCGGCCGTATACCAGCGCCTCAAGAAAGCGGCCAACCACATAAAATAAATACAGAAAACTTGATGCCTACCTTGTCGACTTAAGTCTTTCCAGCGCTCTGTTGTGCAGCGCAGACTTCTGATAGCATGAAAGAATTTTGCACACCACCCGCAGAGCGCTTGAAATGTGTTTTCCTAAATTATTCGGTGTTCACTTATGTTCACTTAGTCTAGCCAGAAAGCGCAGCTCAGATCTCGGGAAACAATCCAACCTTCGAGATCCATCTCTAGCGAAGCACAGGTGTACCGGGGATATAATAGGAACAATAGATGAATGGACGAAGAGAATAGTGGACTGGACATTGACAGAATACAAGCGTTCTCTTGGACGGCCACCAGAATGGTGGGTGGATGTGTTTGTGGCTAACGTCAACCATCTGTATTCGCAGAGGGAAAGGATTTTAGGTTCGCGAAATAGGTTTTGTGGGCTTCAATATATTCGTGACAGACCATCATCATAGACAACAATTGAACGAAGAAGAAATGGAAGGAAAATCTGTTGAGGTCAGCACTACTCGTAATAACGGGCCAGAAATGTATCTAATTACCAGGAACCATGGTAGCTCAATTTACGGCGGCTTGCAGCTCACGATTGCGATTTAGTCGGCCTTGCGAGCAACTCGGGAAAACAACTTATCTTACTGTAAGAAGATACCTTAGAACTAGGGCTATATCCAACTCATGTAAATGGTAGAAAATCATGCCTTCAGAGAAAACTCCATAAGTCAAAGTTGAATGTTCGTCCGATCTACTACCAGCGTCCGATCTGCTTGCTGCCGAATTTCTGCAAGTTTTTGGCAAGTATCATCGTTTCAAAACCCACTGGGATACTCTTGAATGCGACAGAAAAAAAAATGGAAGATTTACTGGGGCCCGTTCGAATAACTCGACGATAGGTGAAACAAGTGATCATC